GATCTGTTCCCCCCTCCCCCGCCCGGCCGCTCCCTCAGGACCCCCCCGGCTCCAGCGCCCTCCCCTCGGGGCTCTGCCCGACGAGGAAGGAGGAGGGAGGATGGCCGTGGCCCCCGCCTCTTCCCCTTCCCCCTCCTCTTCCTCCTCCTCCTCCTCACAGTGGAGAATCCAAAGCCCCGCTGCCCCCCGTGCTTCTCGCCGCGCCGCCAGGCCCCTGCCCTTACCGACAGCGCGGCGCTGGGGCGGCGCGGCCGCGGGCTCCGGCAGGGTTGGGCGGTCGCGGCGTCTCACCTCAGCCTCAGCGCCACCGCCACCGCCATTTTGCCTCCCCTCCCCCGTCTCGGAGGACTCCGCCTCCTCTCGCCAGGTCCTGGCAGCTACCAAACAAACGGCGGCGCGGAGACTCGGAGGTTTTTTACCGGTCGCGGGGACTCGCGCCTTCCTCCCAACGCGCAGCCAGCGTAGCGCTGCTCTGGAGGCGTCGGCTCCCTAGAAAGCGGGGCGGGTCCCGGAGTAAGAAGGCGGTTTGCTACGTTCCTTCCAGGACCTGCTGGCCGGTGCGGCGGCGGAGTACGGCTCCCTCCCCCCTCCCCACTGAGGGGCTCTGTGCGGGGGGGGGGCGGTGGCGACCGCCATGAGGCGCGCAGCGGCGCTGAGGCGGTGACGGACGGAGCGCGGGGGAACCCCTCACGTACACACCGCCCCTCGGCCGCGAGAAGGCGAATAGGCTGAAGTGAAAAATGGTAAATAACGGCCGCCGAAGCGCCAGGCGGCGGCTGAGGGGCGGAGCGCGGCTCTTCACAGCCGTGTGGGGTCCCCGCGGTTGGCGCGCCTCTGCCTCTCGTTATGAAATATTAGGTTTTAAATCGCAACTGCCTCGTTTTTCTGGTTTTTTTTTGTTGTTGTTGGTTTGGTTTTTTTTTGTGTGTGTTTTTTTTTTTTTTTACCCTTTCCTCCGGAATGAGAAAAATGAGCACTGTCCCCTGTCGAGCCGTGTTACGCTCCGCTGGTGCCGACGGCTTTTCCGTCAGATATTTGAAATCCTCACGTTTTATCTGCAAACGTGAGCTGCTGAGATCGCAGATCCCCTTATCGGGTTTGTAACGGGAGGCACGTACCGTCAGCCAAGATTAAGCTGTCCCATTGAGGAAACGCGGTCATGTTGTACAGCTTCCAGCCGGAGTCACAACGCAGGTGCTCAGCCCGTGTGGCAAAGAGGCGAGTTTCCCTCATTAAACACACGCTTTATTGGCCAGTGAGCACCACAGCTGAGTTCCACTCCGTTAAATGCCTACATCAACCTATCTCCAGGCTGAAGTCTTTAACCCCACCACAGCCTACGGCTTGCTTCAACGTATCCAAGAAAAGCCCGTGTGAAGGAGCCGTTTTGTGAGGTGTTTGTTCTCTGGATGTTCGATTCCTCTGATTTGCTCTCCCACTTTTATTCTTTAAGCTGAGGTTGGGGTAACAGACTGCTCTTCTATGCCTCGAGCAGCACGGCTTCCAAGCCGCCGTTTATCTCGTTGCCTTATTTATTCCCTGTCACCTTTTGCATGGTAACGTCTCCAGCGATTGACTTCACCCCTGAGACGCGTCCCAACGCTTTTTTTCTCTCGCAGCCGCGCTCAGGACAGCCGCACAGACAAGCGCACTGCACAGCCTGCCTCTGGAGATGCTCCTCGACCCGCTCTCGAGGTCTCAGTTCGCCCACGTGTATCTCACAGCCACACAGAGGTACGCGTCGAAGAGCTCAGTTTTGTCTCCATTTGTTACTTCTTAAGGTCCCACAGTGGCCCATTTCTCGCTAATAGGGATGCTCCCGGGCCACGCCGCCACCCAGCCCGAGTGCGGCGGAGCAGCCCCAAAGCAGCGGGACCGGTGCACGTTTCTGCAGCCGCGTGACCCCGCCCCGAGGCGGGGAATAGAAGGGCGGAAGAGGGGAACTTCTGGGAGCGCGGAACGTTCGCGTTTTCCGTCCCCGTTTCCCGGCGGAGCGGTGCGCGGCGGCTGTCGCTATGGCAGCGGGGCCGTGGGGCTGGGGGCTGGCGGTGCTGCTGCTGTTATTGTTGGCGGTACTGCGCTGCGCCGCGTGCCGCCTGCGGAGTCGTTCCGCCGCGAACAGCGCGGCGGTGTCGCGGGATGATGACGTCAGCGCTCTGTTGGTGACGGCGCACCCCGATGACGAAGTGATGTTCTTCGCCCCCACGCTGCTCTGCCTGGGCAGGGCCGGCGCCCGCCTCGCGGTGCTGTGCTGCTCCGCAGGTGAGCGGGGATGCGGCAGGGAGTGGTGGGGCTACCTGGCCCCTCAGGTGCCGCTGGCCGTGGAGGTCAGGCTTCCCATCTGTGGCGTCACGCGGAGGCCGCTGTGATGTTTTCATTCGTGACGTCAGCGCTGGGTTGTCTACTTGGGCGGAGCGGGCAGGGCTGTAGCGACGTATCGGCGCATGGTTGGTGTGGCCTCATCGTGGTGTGACAGTGTGATGTCACCGCGATGCCACGCGTGATGTCATCACTGTGCTGATTCTCACAGCCCTCTGGGTTTCTGCTGCAGTGACAGTAAGCACTGCTGAGACTCTGTGGTTTGGGGGCACCTCTAGGTTGGGGCATTCTGCACACGCTTGAAAGTGGCCTCATGTATGGGTCTTCAGCCAAAATGCTGCTTTTGGCACTTTCATTGGCTGTAGTAAAATCTATATTTGAACCACGCATACGGTTTCACAATCAATTCTCATGCTGCAGCACTGAGATACTAGGAAATTGCATGGAAATGTCATTAAGTTGCATAAAAGCACTCATTGTTAAAGTTTTTGCATTTTGTAGTTCTCTGGTCTTTTACAGAACTTGCTTTGGATGATCCAGTTTTGATATCATGATATATTCACACTAACGCATCTAAAAATGTTGGTTGCAAAACAGTCTAATCATTGAAAAATAGCCCTGAAGATAACCTGAGGCTGTGCTGTCCATCAGTCAGCCCAAAGGCAACACTAACGGTGTCTTCATTTGCTAGAGACAAATATCTAGTTTGTGCTTTGTGTCCCCCAGGGAGGTTATGTAGTCTGCTTCAGTGCTGCATTAGCTTTTCTTCACATCACCTTTTCCTGAATTTGGAGTGACCTGAGTTTGTTTGTTTGTTTTATCTGCTGTGAACATAGAAATCAGAATATTCCCTTATAGCAGCTTCTTACTTTTTTTTTAAAGCTGTCTGTCTCTCCTGTGTCCTCCATACTAAACTACATGATTTCTTTCAATCCTTATTGTATTTTCTAAACTTCTGATCATTCTCTTTGCACTCCTGTGGACTCTCCTCCATTTGATTCACATCTGTTTCTGAAGCACAGTCACCAAAAACTGAGGCCTTTCTGGGCCTGAATCAAATGAAAGACTCTCAGAGGAGAAATCTCACAAGGAATTTTCCCAGCATATTACACTACTATCTTGTGCTTTTCTTGTTATCTACTAAAGCTTGAGATAATTTTTTTTAATGCACATAACCTAATCAGTTATTCTTCCTGTGAATTCAAGGTTGTACTGTTGTGCTTGATGAAACACTGCAGTGTTGCATTTCATTATCATTACTTTGTTCAGTTATTTTGGATGTAGGAAGCAGCCTCATGTTAACTGATTTATCAGACCATACACACTGCTGTACATGAATTCATGAGCCTGTGGTGAAAACTTAATGTCTTAATGTTTGTTCAGAGGAGTATTTCAAGCTAAAAAGATGTACATCTCCCACTGACAGCTGCTCGTATTTGGGAAAAGGGACTGCTGTAATTCTGAAATCACCAGCTTGTTCTCTGCCAACTTCTGTATTCTTTGTTCTCACACCTTTCTGTCATAACAGGCTATCTAGGTGAGAAGACAGGGATTAAGCTATTGTTGAAGTCTAATAGCACATTGATTTTAATGATCCCTGCATACTCCCCATTAAAGATTTAGTGCAGAGCTTTCAGTTGTCTTTGCTGAGGGACAAAAGTCTGTGGATCCCATTTGGCTTTTTCACAGCTCTGACAAGATTACCGACATGCAGTTCTGCCATTTCAGTTGTCAGGATTAAAATACTGCTGCCAGTAGAGAACTTTCCAAAGAAGTGTTGTGTTTCTTTTTTATTTTGTTCAGGTTCTCTTTTTTATTGTCCTGCTTCAGTGCCATGAAACATTAAATGGGGTTGAGACTGTCTTCGCTTGCATGTCTTGCACGTCTTTGTAATGGAATACCAACACATAGGAAAATGCATTCAGTGAGCTAATAGCTTTCTCTCTGCCTCTTAATAGCCTTTTGGTGATTCAGATGGTTTATCCTCTCGTTGTTTGTATGATTGATGATGACAAGTGAGTTGATCAAAGACTCCGCAAATTGTAAGACTGAACCAAAATAATGACGTAGGAACTGTTGTATTTGCAGTTCTCACATATCAGTCAAAATGCCATAGAAATGAATCAGAATTACAGCACTGTGAGGGAAAAAACCCAGCCTTCTCCACACTGAGTAATCTTTGAATTAATAACTCTGTATAAATGCGTTTTGTTCTCTGTAGTAGCTGGCTCTCTATTGTGAGTGCTCAATGGATGAGTTCCAGCAGCATTAGCTATTCAGCTGTTTTTGCTTTCAGTAGCTGCCCGTTTTTTCTTGTTAGCATTTATATATTCCTAATGTCCTGACACATTTCTCAAGCTGGGGAAAATGGATCTGTTCCTTTGAGTTCAGTAGAAGTTAGGTGTTTTGAGAATAATGGCACCACATGGAAAAACGTCACCTGCAGTTACTGTGTTATGTTGCAACATAACTTACATTACATTAAAACACAAATATCACTAATTCCCATGCAAGAAATCAATCTAAAATGAAGTACTCATGTAGTCCATCTGAGGAAGGCGCACAGTTAAATTTCCTCTTCTGAAGCTGGAACTTGTGGTCCAACTGCAGACTGCCAAGCTGACGTGTGCCTCAGCAAACCCACAGGTAACCACTGTCACAGTCTTATAAAATCATTCACTCACAGTGTGCAAGAAGAGAAGTTGTTTTTTTCTGGCTGTTGTTCACCTCTTTGAAAATCATACAAAGCTGCTAGTGAGTGCTCAGATTGCAACATTTCTTTAGAGAAATGCTAGATTTAGATGAGTCATCCCCAAAACAATAAAAAAAATCTGGTGTAATTCAAGACAGCTGACTACAGACTCAAATCATACATTAATACACAGCTAAATTTTATCATTTCGTTGCTGCAAAGTTAAAATTGGGCTGCAAATATTGTCCTGCACAGGTAGCATATTGCAAGGGACCATTGCAGTACTGGCATAGACTTTGCATGACTGATTCCAAGAAAAAAAAAAAAGTAGTGTGAGGACAAGATGAGAAGAAAAGATTTCAGCAAAGGAGACGGTGCTTGAAGTGTTTCCCTACCAGCTGTTGGTCTGCAAATATCTATCAAGTTTTAACTTTTCCAAAATACCCTTGAAGTAGGTTCCTGCCTTTTGTGGTTCTGTAAGTTCTTTGCAATTGTAACTTCTGCTGGAATCTCCTCTGTGAATGATGCAGACTTCTGAGAAATCTTCATCTCAAAAACAGATTTTTAGAATTCTTCATTCCCTAAAATCCTCTTAATTTCATCACTGTGTTCTGTTGCAGTATTTTAGTGTTACGTGGTGCCTACTGTTCATTAGAAGTGGTCCAGAATGTACTATAAACTATTATAATCACCTAAGGAATACAACTCAGGACAAGTTTTCCAAGTGTTGTCCCAGCAGTTCTTTCTGAGGACTTTGACCTGGCTGTTCAGCCTGATTCTGTGGGCCTGTGCTGTTAAGAGCACAGGAGGGAGTTCATGGTACCATGCCTAATAGTGAAGGAGGAGTGGTTCTTTTGCCCTTCCTGAGGAGGTTAATTATTACTGATTTGTTTTGAATACCTCTCTTTAAAGTGGACTAAGGTCCCACTAACCTCTTTCATAGAGACAACCTGGAAATTTGCCAGCGATAACAGTTTTAGTCACCTCACTGGAAAGGCTGTTTCTTCTGTGTTTATGAGAAGATCTTGCTGGGTTGTTTTTGTTGGTGACTTGCATTCAGATAACTGTAACCTGTTTGTCCTTGTAGACACCCTTAGAAAGCTCCTTCCTCCCCCGCCCCCAAGCAGAGTTAGCCTTTGGAATTCACAAAAAATACAACACGAGAAAACAGAAAGCCCAAACAACAACAACAACAAATTCCTTTTGCTAAAAGGCTAAAAATTTTGGTGTGAGCTTGTTTGGAAAAGGTATCAGAAAGTGCCATGTCTAACCAGACCGGTTGTCCAAGCAGTCCATTGTCCTCCTTTTAGTAATAGCCAAAGTCATGCTTCTGCTAAAGACATGGGAGATCTCCCAGACAGCAATTCTGGAACAATCTGCTTGGGCAGCTGCTTCTAAACTTCTGTTTGACCAGTAAATGTCTTTTTTCTCCATGCTAAACTAAACAGTGTTGCTGTTATTTGCAGGAAACTATTACAATCAAGGAGAGATTCGTAAGAAAGAACTGGAACAAAGTTGTTGTCTGCTGGGGGTTCCTGCATCCAATGTAACAGTCATTGATCACAGGTAACTAAGCTTTATTTGTAGTATTATTTCTATGCTGGTTTTAAACAAGAAGTGAAGTTCATTTCAATGTTCTGTGACAGCTGACTCTATCATTCTATACGTATTGGATTGAGGACTGTCAAAAAAGATCATACGAGATATTTATGTAAACTATTAGCTAAGAAAATCTAATTAATTCAGAACATAAATCAAGAATATAGTGGGGATTACTGTCCTTAGAGGAAACTCTGTTAATACAGCATTTCAAGTAGTGATAACTAACTAACTTGTAGGGGGTCTGGACAGTGTGTTTGGGCAACATGATCACTCTTTGTTGCAATTTTTGCAGTGTTATCCAAGACACAAAGAAATCTCTGAATTGCCAGAGGCAAGTTTGTGCTGAAAATAAAACTGTTTGGAGGATTGGCAGTACCATTACATTGCAGTTATTCTCCCACGTGATTATAACATAGTTGCAGATAGTTGAAGTCTGTGCTCCATGATAAGATAACCATATAAACACATCAGCAGTTGTGCTGTCTGTAAAACAGTGCAGTGCCTATGTTATTTTGGTAGCCATCAGAGCACTTTATAAAATAAGAATCCTGCCAGCTTTAGCCGAAGAAGCCACCCTGACAGCAGAAATTCCTGAGGGTGTATTTTGGGGAGACAGAAAAATAGAATTGCTTGGAATCTGTTTGTTCATATGTTTGGGTGGTTTGTTAGTTGCCAACAAGTTTTTCATCTGTGGGTGAGCTGGCGGTTGACTGCATTTAATGGGATGGTCTGAAATGGATGAAATGTCTTCTCAGTCTTTGCAGAGGAGGCTGCTGCTAGCAAAGCTATGTGTTTCCATTGCTTCCAAGTGTTTTATTCTAAGACTTCAATTAATTGTAAATTAAATTATGTGAACAGTTCAGAATCAGATATAGGCGTTAATAGAAGACCTTTTTAAAACGTAACGTAACATTAATTTGATTCACTTAAAATCTTATTTTATGTAAATGTGTGAGGTCATGAACTTGTAGTCACCTTTTTCATAGGCTAGTGCTTACATGGCTTGGATGAGATTCTGCTATATTTATAATTTGGTTTAGTTCTGGCTAAAAACAAAATGCGCTCTGGTGTTAAAGGCTGTCCATAACAACATTATAGTAAGTTTCTTTCAACTGAAGCCACGCAGGATTTCTGTATGGGTTTTCTGTTTGTTTGTTTTTAATATGTGTTGTTTTCTTTAGCTGGGTCTAGATATGGAGGTAGGTGATGAAGCTGACACTTATTTGTTTTGGAATTATCTTGAAACTGCATTAATAGAAGGTGATTTGACACTTGGAATCAGTAAAACTCAGAAGGTAACGTTGCAAGGCCTCTGAAGTTGCCCAATCTCTGCCCATCTGGGGTTAATGTTTACTGAAATAAATAGTGATTTCTAGCAAACACAGTACAACCAGTTTCAATTGTAAACAGCTATCATGAAATTCATAAAGAACATTTTTGTTTACAAAGAAGACAGTTTTAAGGCCACACCAACTAGAAAAGTCAGAGTTGAAAAAAGCCTGGCTCCAGGCAGGCCCTTTTCCCATGAATGTATTTTCCCTTGAGCTAAGGCAACAGAAACCACAGTCCAGAATATGAATCCTCTTGAGTTCTTTGCTTTTTTTAGCTTTAGGTTTCTCTCCAAGTTTTCAGCTCTGTTAGGAAAACAGCACAGGAGTTGTTTTTCCTTTGGAATGGAAAGAGACGTTTCCGTTTGCTTCCCATGAACTGACTTGGGGTAGCTTCATGTTTTGTAGTACAATTACATGATAGTACCCAGAACTTTTTTGGGGGGGAATATGGAAAAAAGCTGCATAGTTTTTCATAGAGTTTTGCTGAGCATAGGTTTGCTAAATGAACTGTCTTTTGCAATTTACACTGAGCCCAGAAGCCTGCTTGTCTTTCATGCTATAAAGCACTATGAGTTTGAGTTTGGTTTCTCTGTGATGCAAGTTTCCTGATACTGCTCAATCATCTCCCAGTGCACACAGTCCAGAGGGCTGCTTTTTGCAAGTAGCACTGCAGTTTGCTCAGTAGAAAGGTGAGGGTGATTTCAGAGAAATAACTGGATTGTTTCCCTTTGGTGCTTTCATTGTCAGTGATATGCACGTTTATGAAATCAGTGACCAATGTGTGAGTTCTGCTACTGGATGCGCTGCTTGAGAAGACTGATCTGTGTCCCTGCCCAGAGTTCTGAGGCACAGGATGTTGTAGTGGCAATGCTAAGTCATGGCTTGAAGCAGTGATGGAGCACCTGGTGGGAGGGCAGGGCCAACGTAGGGGAGCTCAGGTACAAACAATTCACCTGAGTGACCAGAAGGGGTAAAGCCAGGATCCACCCCTTCCCAGACCTCATGTAAGGGCTGGCAGTGGAGGTGAGGCGTCTTGCTGGAGATCCCTGCCTACCTGGGGTAAGCAGATTTTTTTTTTTTTTCCCCATTGTTTCTGTGGCCACAGCTGCTGGTTTTGGGCTTCTCCTCACTTGTTGCAGCCTGGGACTTTGCTACCCTGCTATCATTGCTGTGCTTTCTATTATATTGTAATGTTACAGATGCACGAGGTTGTTCTGAGAAACAAGTTCAGGTATGAGACATTTATTTCAGAGGTTAGGTTGCAGTGAGATAACCACCAAATCATCTAACTTTGTTGTGCATTCAGGGAGCCAACCTGAAGGGAAGTTCTTGCTGAATTTAGCTCAAAGCTTGTTTATACAGACAAGTTAAGCATGCTTATAGTGCATTATTCGCTCAGCAGTAACTCATCTAGAGGAGATACTTTATGAAAAACATCTGTGGATCAGGTGTTTGCAAAGTAGTGGGTGATGAGGAATGATTTTTAGATGACACTGAATTTTTGAAGTATTTTCATTGCTTTAGGTAAAGCACTGGGGCTGATTTTCTTCAAACTTAGAGTTCCCAGATTCCTTCCAGTCAGTAGCTTTCCTATGCCTCTGCTACCCCTTTTCTAATTTACACATAATACAGAAGTATTTGCCTCTCTGGTCTGATGTGAAGCATGCTAAATTTCAATGGAAATTAATATGTAGGGGATACAGTTTGTAAGACTGTTCTCATCAGCGTTCTGCCATCCATATGCCATCTCTAAGATCAAAATCCTTTGGCTTTATTTTTTTCATTCTCTTCCTGACTCTCCAGAAGATAATTTTGCATTTGTGTTAAGAACCAGTACAATGCTTAAGGACTGTAGCTGGCATGCTACCAATTAACATTGCTTATGCAAGCACTGGATGCTTTACATTATCCAAGCTACAGACTTGTATTTTGGAAAGGAAAGCCCAAAGGATTGCTCGGTCTGGATCTGCTCCAGCCATTGTAGTGCAGAGCTGAGTCATGCTGTTTCCTCCTCTCTTTGCATAATCTAGAAGTGAGTGAGTAGAAGTTTCAAGATGTAGAATGAATGTATCTGAAAGACAAGCTGATTGATGTGCTCTGCAATCTCGTTTGGCCAGGCAGATATAAAATCAACGTGACATTTGAGTTACAGGTGAACCTGTAGAGAGAAACCTTCAGTTAGTCTGTCTGTGGTGAAATCTGTGTTAAAGACCAAGCCCTTATTAAGCAGTCCCTTACCTTGAACAATGACTATCCCAAGTACAACCAGGATGATAGAGCAGGACTGGTTCAGTCTCTACCAGACAACTGTTTTGCATCGTTTCTTCAAGGGGTGTTTGATAGACTCACAGATAACAGCATCTCAAATCTTCTGCACAAATACAGTGCCGAACTGTACCCACATTTCAGCTATAAGGATTGGAGGCCCCCACAAATCAGCTGAAGTTCATGAAATGCAGTGATTTTGATACTTACCTGTAAGTAATTAATCTGTGAATAGATGCTCCTGAGCAGCAAGCTCTCCCTCCTGCTTTATGGAAAACATTGGAATCTAATTGATCTAATAAGAAAAGTTATTTAAGCTCCCACTAATGTTGGGCACATCTGCCAAAGCCCTTCCAATCTGTAATATAGCATGTAAACAGGAGATGTTTTCTAAGCTATTTTCACTTTCTGAAGAGAATGAGCAAAAACGAAGCCCAAATGATTCTTTTTTTTTTTTTTTTTTTCTAATGTCTGTTTTGAGTTAATGGAAAGATAAGTATCAGGCATTTTACTGCAGCTTCTGAGTCTTTTGTTTGTGATTGGAGTGGACAGAAAGTAGGACTAATTGCATCTTTTATGTGACAGAAAAACATTTGGACCAAGTTTACACTGTAAAGAAAATAATAGCTAAAAATGGGGAAAAGTAGAAAATTTTCCACTCAGTACAGAGACTTACAGCAAGTAACATCACGTCTGTTTCTGAGTTTCCATGGAAATGGCACTGCATACACTTCTCTTATTATTTCACTTAAGTTCACAAGGGCTCTGGTTTGTGCACAGTAGAGAAGACGTCTGCCTGTACAGAATTGCAGGCAAGCTGTGAGTTCTTTATGAGGCACCACGAAAGCTTGCATTTTTGAAGGTTTTTTTGCTATATAAAAATTATTTGGTTTTGGTCTTGGGTTTTGTGTGTGGATTTGGTTTTGGTTTTGGTTTTTTCCATACAAGGTAAACAGGCTATATTGCACTTCCTTGTGTTTAACTGGTGACAAACTTCCTTCTACAAGGCCCCATGTCAGAGAAGTGAGTCTGTAAGGTCATGGGAAAAATATACCCTTAAATAGTGGGTGAGTCTGACTGGGACAATGAGAAGGATACAGAAACACCTCAGAGCTTTCAGAGAATGAAATATGTAACAACCTTTGGATTAGAATTTGAAAACTTACACGTGGACAGTGCAGGAGTACATCCAGTTGATCCAGTTTGGTTTTTGCTGTGCTTAGGTTGTTTGGTGATGGCTTTATGGATTTGTATGCAGGGTGCTGAGTGCGTGAGAACTCTGTGCAAGCTGTCAGTGAGAATTTGTACTGTGATTAAGAAAGCCTGCCTGAAAATGGAGGACCAGAAGAAGTGCAGCAACAAAATCCT